AAATAAATTCTTATATTTATTTCTATCTATCTCTTGTTTTGCATCATTGAATTACAGATAATTATTGATGATGATATGACATTAGTATCAGATGTTTGATTGGGATTGAAACTTGAAGCTGAGGCGGAAGGAAGTCCAGGTGTTAAAATTATTTGTTGTTTCTGATGAGATATATCTACTACAGTGTTCAATGATTCTGAACCAACTTGTGGTTGAGCCTCTGGTGGTAAGTTATGAGGGTGATGTTTATTTTGATGACGAATCAAGTCTCTTTTAATACGGTAGGCCTGTCCACAATAACATGTAAAAGCCTTATCATTTGAATGTGTTAGCCGGTGCTTATGTAGGTCATTACTCTGGGCAAAACCCCTTGAGCAAATATCGCAAACATATGGTTTTTCTCCTGTATGCGTACGTATATGTGGTACAAGATGTGCACGTCTTTTAAACTGCTTGTTACAGTATGAGCATCTGAAAATGAAGAATCGTTAAGATAAAGCTTCACACCTCCCCTTTTATGAAAATTAAACAATACTCACTTGTGTGGACGGTCTTCACTGTGTGAGGCTTTGTGAATGTGGAGATTTGAAAGGGATGAAAATGTCTTTGGACAGATACTGCATGTATAGGGTCGCTCGCCAGTATGAGACCGTCGATGATCATCTCTTGCAACTTTGGTAGAGTATTCTCTGCTACAAATATCACATTTAAATGCCTTCTCTCCTCCATGAGTTATTTTCATATGTCTCATGAGTCCCTTGAAAAAAGAAAAGCAAAAGCTATGTGACTTTGTTTCTCAAGTGGGGTGTTCCAGTAAAATTGAATGTACGGTACTTACTGCTGTATTGGAAAGTTCTTTGCCACAAATTGAGCATATTGTAGTTTTCATTGATTTGTTTTCCCTCTCATCATGAATACTTCGTACATGGTGTCGTAAACTGGCCTTACTGGAGAACTCCTTCCCACACAGGCCGCATTGACATAACTTCTGTTTTGGTTTTGATTTTAATTTGCAACCAGAGCTGTTAGAACTGGAAGTACTTGGCTGGGGTTGGGCTGTGCTTGTATTTGGATCGATATGCACTGACTTATGCTGTCTGAGGTTTTTACTCCACTTAAATGCTTTTCCACAAACATCACACATGAAGGCTCTTCTTTCAGTATGACTGATTTCATGGGTATGCAAAGCTGTCACCTAAAATTTATGAAGTTCCAGAAGATTAATTCCAATTATAATAATATTGTACAACACAACAAATACCATATTTATTTGATTGTAAGTCACACCCTTCAGTCTAATTTTGACACCCAAATGTAGGGGTACTGCTTAGAATTAGGTGCCCAATGTGCACGGGTCTTATAGGCGTCTTTCTTGTGGTAAAATGTGGGGTGTAGCTCACAATTGAATAGATGCAGTATTTGCTAAAACATATAGGAACCTTTAGCTTGCATAAAAGTAGCATACCTTGTGAAAACATTTTCCACATGTTGCACAAACAAATGGTTTCTCTCCACTGTGTAGACGTAAATGGTCTCGTAGTCGAGATTTGACCTTGAAGTTTTTCCCACAAAGACTACAAGGGTATGAAGGCAACACACTTGGATCCTGGTGTGTTCTCATGTGTTGTATTAAAGAGTTTCTCATTTTAAATCCTTTTCCACATTGATTACATATATGGTTTTTTTGATTGGAGTGAGAGAGGTAATGAATTTGAAGAGTGTGATTCCTGAAATAAAAATAAAAACAGATAAATCTATATACTTTAAAAATGTGCAAATAACATTTCAGTTTGTTTAATTTACTTCAAGCCTTAAAGGATTGCTACTTTACTTTCAAGTGTCTTAAATACCTTGCAAATGCCTTGCCACAAAATGTGCATTTGAAAGGTCTTGCTAACTCCTCTTGAGTGTGAGTTAAGCGATGTTTCCCTAAAAGTGTATTGTTTCCAAATGCCATACTGCAAATTACACACTTAAACGCACGAGACTTCTCCTCTTCTGTGTGTTTAAGACGATGTTCCATCACAGATGATTTAGTCCCAAATCCCTTGCCACAAATATGACATCTACAATGATGATACTGGGTTAACAATTCAGCACTTCATAACTTAAATCAAACTAAAGCATATCAATTTGTGATGAAGTAACATACTTGAAAGTCTTAAGAGATGGTTTCAGTGCATGTGTCCACAAGTGGACACTCAATTTACTTCGGGTGCTAAAGGTTTCTCCACAAGTTTTGCATTCATGTCTGAATGATTCAACACTGTCAGCATGTAGTCGCTGATGTCCTGCCAACCGCTCTTCGGTAGCACAAACTAGTCCACACTGCTTACATAAGTAAACCTAAGAGTTTAAGAAAAGAAAAAAATTAGACATTTGCTTTCTGTTAGGTATTGTAAACCCCCAAAATTTGCTTACCCTTCTGTTGCTATAATTTTTTTGTAGTTTTCCCATTTCTATCTCATGTATTGTATAATGCAAATGCATCTCATGAAGAGAGTTTTGAGGATGTGAACAAAACTTGCAGATAAAAGTAATTGGGGGGTTAGAGTCAGTTAGGTGAGATTTTTCATGTGAGAGCAACAACACTGGGTTACTAATGAATTTTTTGCATAAGAAACAAATATGAGATAAGTCTAAACCTTTAGCTTCTCCTTCAGTACATCTTATTGAAGTAGCATTACAAGAACTTGTATAAGCATCTGGAAAAAAATTAAGACACTGTTAGATTTGAAGTGGATTAGAAATAAAAACCATCATTTCTGTGAATGAAAATTACCTTTGGATTCTGAAGAATCTTGAATACAATTGTTACTTGAAGTTTGCATGTTATAGAGTTTATCTTCTTCATCCTCAGCAGTGATTTCTTTTGACTCACTATTACACTTAGTACTAACATTTTCAATCACAACAACAGCTGTGGGAGCTCGTCTTAAACAAGTTGGCCGAACAACAGACACCATTGTGCCTTTGCCTTCATTATTCAAACTACCAATATTACGGTGTTCTCTTATGACGGCAGACTCAATGAAAGTGCTTGCTTCAGTTTCAGCTATATGACAAGCGTTTTGATTGTCAGACACCAGCACAGAGGGGTGAACTGACTCATGCCTCACAAGAACACTTTTTGACCTATTTCAAAAAAAAAAAGAAGACTTATTTCAAACAAGATGTAATATTTGACATGTTTGGCAATGTACAAAACTCATACTGACCTACACGTACTTTCTTGTTGATAAGAATCACTACTGGTGGTTAGTTGGATTGCTGACCTGTCAAGCAGAAACCTATTTTATACAACAATTGAATCTGTAGTGCATTATTATTATCACAATATTTTTTCCATTTTTACTTACACACGATTTGTAAACTGTGAAGCCATAACATCATCTCTTAATGCATCATTAGATTGAGGTAGCATTCCTCTACTTTCTGAACTTAAAGAGCTTGATTTCTTTTTAAGAAAAGAGTTCTGTTTAGAGGTCTTTCTTAGCTGCAGAAAATTGAAAATTATAATTATTTTCTGCTGATCGATTAAGAGTGAACCAGAGTAAAAATATCAGGTCTGTACTTACTGTACTTACAGTGGAATCTTTCTTGTGGCTAGAGATACATCCATACTCATCATCAGACTCATTCTCTAGGTTGTGAGTGCTTGTATGAGACAGTTCAGCATGTTCCTGGTATTGAATTTCATTTGAAATATTTGACACAATATGAGATATGTTCGTTATCACCCTGCTATTTATGGGCATGGATGAAGGGATTTCTGAGACAAATACCCTATCCAATTCATTCTGATCCACTGTCTCTACTTCAGGTAAGTTGTGGTATTGTAAATGCCTATCAGATTTAATTTCATAAGAGAGTAGCCTATTTTCCTGATCTTCGACTAGCTGATTTACATTTATATGTGGTGTGTTAGGAAAATGCTGCTGGCTGGTAACATCAATCCCATGGTGAATATCGTTCTGTGTGTCTGTGGGCAAGCTTAGTTTGGAATAATCATGAGATGAAATTTGAAATCGCTCCAATGTCTTTGGTGGCGAAATAAGAACAGACTCCTGTCTGATAGGGAACTGAAACAAAGTCAAAAATATGGGGATAACAGAAGATAATGTAAAGACAGGATAACATTTCTCACTTAGACACAACAATACCTCAGCTTTCTCCAACATTTTTTGAAATCTATGATGTGCCTCCTGACAATTCTGATAAAGTAAATGCCATGATAATAATGATGACATACATTCATAGCAAAGCTGTGAAGGTAGGACATCCTCCCTCCGCACCTAGGGCAAAAAGGTATAAGATAATATGACCTTTGGGAGTCCCTTGGGACTTAAAAGATTTGTTTTGAGTGCTGGAACCATATTAGCATTATAACCAACCTGAAGCTGAAGATATAAATGGATTTTATGATCCAGACTGTGTGTTTCCCCCTCTGCACCAAATATAGATATCAGGTAATCATTTTGAGCTCCACATATTCTACATATCTTCTTAAAATTCTGAAGTAATTCAGTCCAACTATTTGTCTGCAACCCTTGTTGATGGCACAGAGATGTGTTCGACGCTAATGATTGCATTGTATTGGACTTATGAGATGATAGAACACTTCTTGTTTAGTGTCTCTTACAATGCTTGGGGGCTGTCATGCTACCAGACTAAACAAAAGATAAATAAGGCTTTTTTTCAAAGCTGTCCCATGATAGTCTAACAAAAGCTTCTCAGAAATACCTACGTTTTCCTGCTTGAATTGTATGTAAACAAACTACATAACCTTTTGGTCTTTGGCAGACGATTCTATTCGAAAGGTATTCAGCCTTCAGACAGCGATTTGAGTCGCAAGTAGACGTATTAAAAACATTACAACGGCTTTCAAAAGACCAAAATATCACTGGTTGTTATGCCTTAAACAATAAACAAACTTGAATCCTTGATTTTCTCTTGATTTTTTTGCCACCAACGACCAACATGATTTCCTTTCCCCTCTCCCCCCCCCACCACCACCACCACCTCTACATCAACTGTCATCTGTTCCCTTTCAATTCAAATTTCAGATTATTCGGCTTCTGCTGCTTCCTTTCTGCTCTGTCAACATTGTTAAGGCAAACACACAAAAATGGAAGAGGTTGCTCTGCGCATTCAAAGCAATTTGTCTCAGGTGTTTTCTCAGTTAAGCGACAACTCTTCCATCGGTCAACCAAAAAGTGAAGTTGAAGAAAATGTGACAACAGAGGTTAGTTTAGTGTCATTCTAGGAAATTCTATTCAGTCTAGATTCAATTGCAATTTTGAAAAAGCAGTACTTCATAGAGTGAAATTATTTGAAATTTCATCGTTTTGCACTTGTCTCCTGTTTCCCACAGGATTGTTTGCCTCCAAGTTTGTCTAGACTTCCAACTTTTCCCATCCTGAAGCAAATTTCTGATACCAAAGTTGAAACGTTGAAGCGTCAAAGTGAAATTGATTTAAAACCATTCATCAAATTGTTTGAAAAGGTGGAAAATACAGTTTGTACGTGACTATCTGATTGTTGTCAAATTATTATGTTGATGCTTCTAAATCTTTAGTTTCTTTTAACCACTTCTCGGTTTGCTTTTTTTAGATGACGGTATGGATTTGGCAGCAAACATTGCTACCTGTTTAGAATTTATTCATAACTCCAGCCAACTTTTACAGCAAGTATTAAAGGACCCAATGTCTCAGGATGCATTACCTTTACCACATCACATGCACAGGTGGAGTGTACCAGCATTCTCAAAGCGAATGGAGCCAAGGGAACCTTAGCAGTTTATTGTAGTAACCTGGTTGTGATTTCATTTACAGAAAAACTATTGATATGATTGAAGCATGTGTATGGACTGTTCAGCACCCACGGTGGCAACCATTAAGTTACGAAGTAGAATGGGGAAACCTTCTACCAAAGCTGGTAATTAATAATAATTTGCACAATCCTCTCATGTTTGTATTTTTGGGTGAAATGGTTAATTTGATTGCTTATGTCTTTACAGAGACAAGAAGTGTCTGATTGGATTGTGTCAGCCAAGCTATCTGGAAAGCACCTAAAAGAAGTTGAAGACTTGAAGCAGAAGCTTGATATGGTCTTGGAAAACTACT